AGGAGGATGATGGAGAAGGGGATGAGGAGGAGGAGGAGGAGGATGGAGAAGGGGATGATGATGAGGAGGAGGAGGATGGAGAAGGGGATGAGGAGGAGGAGGAGGAGGAGGAGGCGCTGCCGCCGGCGGAGGCTGAACTTCCTGGGTCAGCGGCGGCGGCTCCATCCGGCGCCCGGGCGGAGCTTCCCCGAGCGGCCGGGGGGGAGCCCCGGACCCCCCGAGCATCGCCGGCACCGGGGGGTCCTCCGCGGGGCCCGGGGGGGGCCCGGGAGGGGGGTCCCGACCCTCCTTTCCCGTCGTCCCGGAGCCGCCGCCGTCATGCAGGAGAACTACGAGTCCCTGATCCTGCTGGGTAAGGCCGGGATCCTTCTGTGCCCCCCCTCGGGTGATTCCTCCTCCCCCCCCCCAAAAAAAAAAAACCCCCGAAATAATGAGGGCGAAGTCCGGCACCGGCGTTGGATGAAAATCTTAATCGGACCCCGATGGAACGGGAGCAGAACCCGATTTCCGCCCGATTTCCGCCCGATTTCCGCCTTTTTAAAAATTATTTATTAATTTTTTTGCGTTCCTCGGGAGCAGATTTCCCCATCCCCAAACCCACCGTGGTGTCCCGGCTGGAGCTGGAGGAGGAACTGGGCGAACTGGGCGTGCCGGACCCCAACGACTCCAAGGAGTGGCAGATCCTCAGGGTGGCCCCCGCAGGTGAGCTGGGACCCCCCTTCCCCCCCCATCATCATCATCATCACCATCACCGTCATCCCGGGGGTTTCCCACCGCCCCCAGCGCCGGGAATGACCCCGTTGTCCACCCCCCCCCCGCGGCAGATGACGGCACGGGCAGCGAGGAGGAGGAGGAGGAGGAAGAGTCGGAGTCCCCCGAACCCCCCGAGCTGGACGCCGCCCTGCCCCGCCCCGAGGAGGGGGTCCCGCAGCCCCCCGCCCCCCTCGGGGAGTGCTGCCAGCCCCCCTGGCACCCCTGGGACCCCCCCCACCCTCCCGCGCAGCCCCCCGCCCGCCTCCCGCGGGGCGGGGGGGGTCGCGGGGGCCGGCGCGGGGGTCGCGGCGGGGGCGGCCCGAGGGGCTTCGGGCACCGCTGCGGGCGGAGCGGCTTCGGCCCCACGGCGGAGGAGAAGCCCTACAAGTGCCTGGACTGCGGGAAGAGCTTCACCCGCAGCTCCAACCGCAACGCCCACCGCCAGCGCCTGCACTCGGGGGGGCGCGGGGGGGGCCCGGACAAGCAGCGCCAGGACCACCGGGACCACCGGGACCCCCCCCAGCTCGCCTGCGGCAAGTGCGGGCAGAGCTTCGGCTGGAGCGCCGAGCTGGGCGGGCACCGGCGCGGGGAGAGACCCGGGCAGAGACCCCGGGAGAGACCCGGGCAGAGACCCCCGCCCGGCTGCGGGGAGTGCGGGAGGAGCCCCGGGCGCGGCCCCGAGCTCGGCACCCACCTGAGGACGCACCCGCGGGGCGAGAGACCCTTCGCCTGCCCCGACTGCGGGAGGAGCTTCAGCTACAGCTCGGCCTTCCTCAAGCACCGCCGGGGGCACGGAGGGGACGGGGAGGGGGGGGAGGAGGAGGAGAAGCCCCCCTTGCCCTGCCCCAGCTGCGGGAAGAGCTTCGCGGGGAGTTCGGCGCTGCTGCGGCACCAGCGGAGCCACTCGGGGCGGGCCCGGCCCCGCTGCGGGAGGGGCTTCCCGGGGGGCTCGACCCTCCCGACCCTCCCGACCCTCCCGTCCCACCGGCGCGGCCGCGGCGCCGCCGGGCAGGGCGAGAAGCCCCACAAGTGCGGCGACTGCGGGAAGGGCTTCGGGGGCAGCTCCGCGCTCGTCCGGCACCAGCGGCTCCACCTGGGGTAGAGCCCGGGGGGGCGGCGGGGACGGGGACGGGGACGGGGACGGGGACGGGGACGGGGACGGGG